ATGAATCCTCTAGCTATTGGCAAGACTATTTGTTTATTTATATACTGAATCCTTTATTTAGTTCCATTGAGAAGCAATCTTGTGAGGCAGCCCTGGCACCAACAGTGATACCAACAGATATCAGATAACATCAAGGTATCAGTGCCTGAGTGACAACAGCTCAGCCAATCTGCATAACAGTGAGACTGTGTTATCTACCTGGCATCCAGAGACTGGACTAGTATGAGAAGACAGTTGACGATGGAAGGTCCATTGCTCCCTGAGGAAACACAGGGGAAATCATAAGGATTATAATCATAATCTCACAGACTGCCGATAGGATCTGGGGCTTAGGCGTGTGGAGACACATAGGCTATGTATCTACGTATGCAGACAGATGAACATAAACAGTAGCAATGAAAACATAAACAGGGTAACATGAGATTTAAACAGATTTTGAGTCAATAAGCTCTATGTTAACTTTACACCATCCTTACCAAACAGAGAGATCATATGTCTGACAAGAGCTCCCAGTATGCAGAACAGGCTGAAAATGGGAGGAGGACAAGAGAGAGGGATGGAGGAAAAAAGAGGAATAGAAATATGATGAGAATGCAATATTTCAGGGCACAGGGACATATTTGCCATATTTGCCAAGCATAGATGTCACGCTCTGGCTCCGGGACTCTGTATGTTGAGCCAGGGTGTGTTCATTCATTGGGTGTATTTCTATGTTGGTATTTCTGTTGGGTTGTATTTCTTTGTTTGAAGGAGTGACTCCCAATCAGAGGTAACGAGTGTCAGCTGTTGGCTCGTTGGCTCTGATTGGGAGCCATATTTAAACTGTCATTGTTCACCTTGGGGTTGTGGGTTTTTGTTCCGTGTTCAGTCTTTGTTACTGTGGACTTCACGAGTCGTCTTTTGTTTTGTATTTAGATACTTTAATATAATAAAGTCATGTTCATTTCACACGCTGCGCCTTGGTCCACTCCTTCTCGTCAAGACGATCGTGACAATAGACAGGTAAGACAAACATGGTTATAAAGCTAAATGGTGCTAACATGTTATTATTGTAATGTGTTAATAACCAATACCTGGTCCCGATCTCCTCCTTATTGGAGCCATGACCGCCGTTGCCTCGGGAGCTGGCTGCGGTGGACAGAAAGTAGAAGTGATGGTTCTTTCGGTACTGTTCCACCAGAGGGTATGATAGAAATGACTGAATCACAATGTTTTTGGGCAAATCTAACCCAATAGACCTAACACACTATTTATTTGTGTCAGCACACCAAAATGGGCTATTCATATCACTTTATCACTGTGGTTTGGTAAATGTATCCTGTTTTTCCACGTTGTATCTGTTTTGAGTCATTTCCAAAGGAACAGTGACAGTTGTTGTGCTGTAGTTGTTGCCATGTCTCAGTTTTTATCTTTGTGCGTAGAGAGTGCAGAGAGACTGGCTTCCGTTTGAATTAGTGGTCCCAACAGCGGGACTTATCCCCTTTTATTCTCTGTCTCCTTAGAGGGAGCGTGGGAGGTTTAATCAATGGTCTGATGGAAATCGACACGCCCACATGGATTTCCAAAATGGCTAAATCAATTCCGGTGCCACAGTAGCTTTCACTTACTTGGGGTTGCCCATGGCAACCTCCCAACAAAACGATTAGCCTACATCAGTGTGTGGTCGTGAAGAAATTAATAATAGCCATGGCAAAATCAAGCAGGACAACAGAGTGAAAACTGTTCATTCATATCCTCCTAGAGTACATGCCCATCTCAGTTGATGGACTGGAGAATACAAAGGGGTTTTACATTTACAAACCTTGCTGAAAAAGTGAATCCGCTGCTGGTGAGGAGCCTTTACTTTTGTCATCTGACCTCTTGCCTGCATGACCTCTGAGGAAAAACACAACACATCCTAGGGTGTCCACCCACTCTGCCCAGAGTGTGTGAAAACGCGATTTGGTGAAGAAATTTCACTTCCTTATGTTATAAAATACATTTGACCAAAACAAATATGATTATTCATGTTCTGAATCATTCAGTGGGGTTATTCTCTAACACATCATTAACATTATATCCAAAAAGTTGGATTTTCTAACCTAATACATCCGATAATAAGCACAGAGCCTTTTTGACATACAGCTGGAGCAGTTTTGCCTTGAAGAATGGGCAAAAATCCCAGTGGCTAAGATGTGCCAAGCTTATAGAGACTTGCAGCTGTAATTGCTGCAAAAGGTGGCTCTACAAAGTATTGACTTTGGAGGGGGTGAATAGTTATGCACGCTCAAGTTTTCTGTTTTTTTTGTCTTATTTCTTGTTTGTTTCACAATAAAAAATATTTTGCATCTTCAAAGTGTTAGGCATGTTGTGTAAATGAAATGATACAAACCCCCCAAAAAATCCATTTTAATTCCAGGTTGTAAGACAACAAAATAGGAAAATTGCCAAGGGGAGTGAATACTTTCGCAACCCACTGTAGGCCTATGGGCTAAGGTACATGAGGTGTGCGACTATGATTTGAAAAAGCAAAAAAAGCATGTGCTGTTTGCCTTAAGCTGGGCCTCATTCACAAGTGATAATATATAATTCACAAGTGACAGGCTAATATTGTCACCCATCACAGTATTCTTGATGAATCTTGTCATTACATATACTAAATAATATATGTGAAATTTGTTTTGATTTGGAATGGACCAATATCATGCACCTGTCTCGAAACAGGGGAACCGGAAAAAAAATACATGTCATCTATGCACTTAAATAGCCAATGGAGGACGCTTTTCCCGTGGTTGATTTTCATGCCAGCCAGGTAGGCTATACTCCTGTTTTGAAGATAATCAATGTGCTTAATAATAGGAAGGTTGAGAAATAAATATAGTAGGCCTGTCATACGAGCCTTCGCTTTGGCTCTCCCTCCTGTCCAGCTCAGGAGTTTGGCATCGCCAGCCTTTTAGCGGCTGTCGAACCTACTGCTGGCAAACGCCCTTCACTCATCAACCCCGGACTTGTCTCGTCATCCCCACTCTATCACTGTATATATACTCCCTCTGCCATTTGTCTTTGTTGGTCATTGTAAATGTTACTTGTTTTCCTGAAAGGAATCTCTCCTACTATTTCCTGAGTACTTTATATTTTGCACTTTGGGTTCGCCCTGTCCCTTTTTGTTTATGAAGATATATTTTGAGCACAACAGCGTTTGGGTTTCATCCCGCTTTGATCTATGGTGCTTAAATGAATTCAGTAGTTCTAAACCTGCGACTGCCTTCTGACTACTCTTCTGCCTTCTGCCTACACCAGTGACAAGGCCTAGTCTATAGAAAGCTGATGGGATCCTCCTCTTTTCAACTGAGACCATCACTCTGTTTTCTCTTGCAATTGCATAGCCTATAGAAATGCTTGATTCGATTTACGATTACATTTGCATTGATGTCAGAGTGATTAGAGGGAGTTCCAGGCAGTTAGCAAGTTTGGTAGTCTACTAATGACCATCAGCAGCATCAGAGCTTGGAGAAGCCTAATTACCTTGACTAAATGGTCACATGGAATTTGACTGCCATCATGATTTGTGACCGCCGGTGTGGCGGTAATATGGTCACCGTAAAAGCCAAACAGAGAGCGATCCCAAGATGTCCTCAAGTTCTTTCAGCTCAATGGCTACACTGTGTGGAGATGAGGAACTGGCTGTAAAGGACAGGACTAACAACTGATGCTAATGATCATTCGAACTTGAGGACATCTTGGGCACGCTCTCTCAGTTTGGCTTTCTCCTTGGCAGGGAGGGTATCACATGGCACTAGTGTAGAATGACCCCCTACCCCTAGAGTAACAAATTAGATCAGAGTATTATAGCTAAAAATTTATGAAATTCAGAAAGGATAGTCAGCAAATTTGAAATTCGCCAATCATGATCACATAAGCATTTATTTGAGATGCAATATGTAGATTATTCTGCACAACGCTTTGCTTCAAAACCACAGAGTAACCTTTTTGATTGGCTTCAAGTTGCCAAAGGTGCATAACAACACTTATGGCATAACCCCTGTTAGAGCTGAATTTAGCATGGTTTCTGATGTAATGCTACTTTTAGTATCGACTTCCTGCTTCTTTTTTGACCAGGTGTTATGGTAGTTCTCAGTCAACATTTCAGCCATAGATGGAAGGAAAGTATAAAACAATCAATTATACAGTCAATAACAATAATCATAATTCTATATGAATACCAGGGTAGCAAAATTCCGGAACCTTTCAATAAATTATGTTATTTCCCGAAATCCCGGTTGGAGGATTCTCGGAATCAGGAGAGCATAAGCAGGAAATCCAGAATCTTCCAACCAGGATTTCTGGAAAACCAGGGAATTTATTGAAAGTTCCTAGAATTTTGCAACCCTAAGTGTGTCTATGTCCTGACTTACAAACTGGTCCATTGAGTGTCACACTGCTCATGTCCATTGGTTTGGAGGTGAAGATTGAGCCTCCTTCAAACAACAGCTAAACCGCAGAGACAGAGACATGTTCATTTAAATATTTATTTGCGTCCGCTGCAATCCATTTCTATGCATCCATTGAAATCTATGTATCCATTGCGTAATACTATAGTTAGTACATTCAGTGTGAACAACAACTACGACAATATGAACAGCACAGCTGCTCAGTTTCAAAGAAGAAAACAAGGAAGGAAGAAATGCAACAGATGGAACAAAGTCAACAGTTCATTTCAGAGCAGGACCTAAACAAGGCCATGGCCATCTCCCTCTTTAGTTCTCTCTGTTGTCCAGCCAAAGGCCAACATACTTCTCACTGTCTCCTTTATGGACCAGTGATACGCCTCTTTGTCCTGAGGAAAACAAATATGAAAGTAGCAAATGGATGATAAAATGTTGGAACTGTAACAAATACAGACAAATACATACAAATATTACATATTTTATTTTAAATATAGAAATCCTAAAGGAAACAGTAATCTCTCTGTATGTTGTAGCTTAGACCCACCCTCTCAGCCAGAGCTCTGTAAGTCTTCAGGAGAGGGTGTACTTTGGTCTTTTCACAGAGCTCCTCATGGACTCAGCCATTGGCAATCTGAAAGACAGCAAAGATATACATACATAATTAATCATATACAGTATGATATGCCTATACACACAGCATAATCTTCTTCATACACAGCAGTTCACGCATGACACAGAATGACAGTGTCAACAGAGTTTTTATACAGAACATACTGTATACTCATAGTAAACTCAAAGCTCAGTTACCTTGTCCATTGACCACTTCTCATTGGTGTGTTCTGCATTTATTCACCACAAACTCCAGTTTCTCTTGTACTGACACTAATAAAGGGGAAAACATATACAGTCATAATACATATCAGAACAATATTATATTATACATTATAAAATCATGTCAATTTAAGGAGTATTTCTACAAGAGAGGGGATGAGTAATGATAGGACAAAGGCCCTAACTGCAGGCTCATTTGTAGGTGTCTACAGGCTCAGCCAGGTTCCATGTGGTCAGGAGGGAGGGCACCAGCTGCAGCTGCCACACTGCAGAGCCAGCCTGGAGAGCTCAGTATCATAGGGCTGTTTAGGAGAGGAGACAGGGAGGAGGAGATAGGGAGAGTCTGAACAAACACATGCCTTAGGGCTACACAGGAAAATACACACATAATATAAATCATGGACTGGGTGGGTTAGTGTGGGCAGTAGCATTATTGCTTGGTCTGAAAACAAATCCCATGCCCCCTCCAATATCCAATATATGTTTACAGACTAAATGGTCCCGATTACATTTGAATGGGCCCGAATATGATAAGTTGACAACTCCGCTTATTCTTCCAATGGGCTATTGGGAGCTCCCATTGTAGGCTATTGCTTACACCCATCCAGTCCCTTCAAATCTGTTAATATCAAAAGGTTGTTTTGGGAGAGGCTGGCTGAAGAGTTGGTCCAACTGTACCTTCCTGGACATAGCGTTGAACAACCCCCAGAACAGCTTCCTGGAGAAGTGAAGCTCCTCCTCTGAGGCGGAGCCCAGGTGCCCCTAACCTCCAGCTCTGCTCATAGTGATTGGTCAACAGCTGAAAATAGGGAGTTACCCAAAGTCAATGTCTTCATAAAAGTTGTACATGTCGAAATACACACATACAGTGAGGGAAAAAAGTATTTGATCCCCTGCTGATTTTGTACGTTTGCCCACTGACAAAGACATGATCAGTCTATAATTTTAATGGTAGGTTTATTTGAACACTGAGAGACAGAATAACAACAACAAAATCCAGAAAAACGCATGTCAAAAATATTATAAATTGATTTGCATTTTAATGAGGGAAATAAGTATTTGACCCCTCTGCTGATTTTGTACGTTTGCCCACTGACAAAGACATGATCAGTCTATAATTTTAATGGTAGGTTTATTTGAACACTGAGTGACAGAATAACAACAACAAAATCCAGAGAAACGCATGTCAAAAATATTATAAATTGATTTGCATTTTAATGAGGGAAATAAGTATTTGACCCCTCTGCAAAACATGACTTAGTACTTGGTGGCAAAAACATTGTTGGCAATCACAGAGGTCAGACGTTTCTTGTAGTTGGCCACCAGGTTTGCACACATCTCAGGAGGGATTTTGTTCCACTCCTCTTTGCAGATCTTCTCCAAGTCATTAAGGTTTTGAGGCTGACGTTTGGCAACTCGAACCTTCAGCTCCCTCCACAGATTTTCTATGGGATTAAGGTCTGGAGACTGGCTAGTCACTCCTTTGTTGCCTTGGCCGTGTGTTGTGGGTCATTGTCATGCTGGAATACCCATCCACGACCCATTTTCAATGCCCTGGCTGAGGGAAGGAGGTTCTCACCCAAGATTTGACGGTACATGGCGCCGTTCATCGTCCCTTTGATGCGGTGAAGTTGTCCTGTCCCCTTAGTAGAAAAACACGCCCAAAGCATAATGTTTCCACCTCCATGTTTGACGGTGGGGATGGTGTTCTTGGGGTCATAGGCAGCATTCCTCCTCCTCCAAACACGGCGAGTTGAGTTGATGCCAAAGAGCTCAATTTTGGTCTCATCTGACTACAACACTTTCACTCAGTTCTCCTCTGAATAATTCAGCTGTTCATTGGCAAACTTCAGACGGGCCTGTATATGTGCTTTCTTGAGCATGGGGACCTTGCGGGCGCTGCAGGATTTCAGTCCTTCACGGTGTAGTGTGTTACCAATTGTTTTCTTGGTGACTATGGTCCCAGCTGCCTTGAGATCATTGACAAGATCCTCCCGTGTAGTTCTGGGATGATTCCTCACCGTTCTCAGGATCATTGCAACTCCACGAGGTGAGATCTTGCATGGAGCCCCAGGCCAAGGGAGATTGATAGTTATTTTGTGTTTCTTCCATTTGCGAATAATCGCACCAACTGTTGTCACCTTCTCACCAAGCTGCTTGGCGATGGTCTTGTAGCCCATTCCAGCCTTGTGTAGGTCTACAATCTTGTCCCTGACATCCTTGGAGAGCTCTTTGGTCTTGGCCATGGTGGAGAGTTTGGAATCTGATTGATTGATTGCTTCTGTGGACAGGTGTCTTTTATACAGGTAACAAACTGAGATTAGGAGCACTCCCTTTAAGAGTGTGCTCCTAATCTCAGCTTGTTACCTGTATAAAAGACACCTGGGAGCCAGACATTTTTCTGATTGAGAGGGGGTCAAATACTTATTTCCCTCATTAAAATGCATATCAATTTATAACATTTTTGACATGCGTTTTTCTGGATTTTTTTGTTGTTATTCTGTCTCTCACTGTTCAAATAAACCTACCATTAAAATTATAGACTGATCATTTCTTTGTCATTGGGCAAACGTACAAAATCAGCAGGGGATCAAATACTTTTTTCCCTACTGTATGTTACATGGCCTGTGTGTATTACTGCTGTTATACACTGAGTGTATAAAACATTATGAACACCTGCTCTTTCCATGACATAGACTGACCAGGTCAATACAGGTGAAAGCTATGATCCATTATTGATGCCACTTGTTAAATCCACTTCAAGCAGTATAGATGAAGGGGAGGAGACAGTTTAAACAATTGAGACATGGATTGTTTATGTGTGCCATTCAGAGGAAGAATGGGCAAGACAAAAGATTTAAGTGCCTTTGAACTGGATATGGTAGTATGTGCCAGGCACACTTGTTTGAGTGTGTCAAGAACTGCAACGCTGCTGGGTTTTTCACGCTCAACAGTTTCCCGTGTGTGTCAAGAATGGTCCACCATCCAAAGGACATCCAGCCAACTTGACACAACTGTGGGAAGCATTGGAGTCAACATGGGCCAGCATCCCTGCGGAATGCTTTCGACACCTTGTAGAGTCCATGCCACAAAGAATTGAGGCTGTTCTGAGGGCAAAAGAGGGGGATGCAACTCAATATTAGGAAGGTGTTCTCAGTGTATACCTAACCTTATACAACGGGTGGGTCTACTCCTGGATGCTGGTTGGTTAAAATTGCATTCCAGCCAGTGTTACGACCGGTTAAAGCTATGACGTTGAAATGCCTATTTACTTTGTTCCATCTCACTGCGCAATCCACTGTCTCATCAGCCCAGACAGACAATTTATAAACTTGATCTCCACTGTAAAAAGCATCTAGACATTATCTCCCATTTCTTTTAGACTAGCAATAGGTTTTCAATAGTGGAGATTTGTATAAACCTTGCTGTCTGTCTCTCTGACATTTGCAACATTGTATCAGTATTGAAATTCGATCTCCAGCTGTCCCATATTAATGAAAGTGTAGGGGTGGGAGTCGGGATGACATAGACAGGCAGGCAGCTTTTCTCAGCCAGTCGAATCAGCATCATTTTTATGCAGGGACGCAACTTTCACTGGGGACGGGGGGGTTCATGTCCCCCCCCACCTTCTGAAATTGCATTTTTGTCCCCTCCAGTTTAATCATTGCAATGGGATACAAAAATATGGCAAAGGTGTGCTTTAGGACCATGCGGACGCCTCCGAGCGGTCGGGTAGGCTGTTTGGAGTTTTCAGCCGGCTGGATTTAGGACCGCATGGACACCACAGAGAGGTGGGGGCAATGCAAATAGTCCGGATAACCATGATTAGCTGTTCAGGATTCTTATGGCTTGGGGGTAGAAGCTGTTAAGAAGCTTTTTAGACCAGTTCTAGCCTCTAGTTATCTGTCAGATAGTAGTAGTAATACCCACCTCATATCACTATCTAACAGCTGTTGTTTGTATGGAAATGTTTTGTAGCCTTTGTTTTACTCCTGTTTCAGAATTAAATGAACTTGGCTAGCTTTTGCCAGTTGATGTAACATTAGAGAGAGAGCTGGCCAAAAGTTGTCTAACATTAGCTATTAGTTTTGCCTCAGTCACACTAGACCTGAATCAAACAATGAAACCATCGACCAATCAATTGAATATTGATATTCTGATGTTTTTTCAGTGCAATGTGACTTTTATTAGTCAGTATGGCAATGTAACGTTATTGATATGTCAGTTTCCCTAGCTAATTCCCTACTTTTCACACTGACACAGTAGAGGTCAGCGGGACTGATTTCTTCATCCTGCTCCCGCCTGCACCCCATGGCTTTCTGTCCAACTCCCACCTGCTACAGCAAGAATTGGTCCCAAACCCAACCGCAGTCCTGCAATGTTATTTTAGGCGAATGTGACGCAGCTCACTTGCCAGCCACGGTCCCAGCAATTTTGTAATATCAAATTGGCTAAAATAACTTAAGAAATAGGTTAAATTACTAGAGATTCTCACGTGGCCCTTGTATTGTATTGTATTACTGAGCTATATCAGCCAATATGCTAGATGTACAGTGGGGAAAAAAAGTATTTAGTCAGCCACCAATTGTGCAAGTTCTCCCACTTAAAAAGATGAGAGAGGCCTGTAATTTTCATCATAGGTACACGTAAACTATGACAGACAAATTGAGAAAAAAAATTCCAGAAAATCACATTGTAGGATTTTTAATGAATTTATTTGCGAATTATGGTGGAAAATAAGTATTTGGTCACCTACAAACAAGCAAGATTTCTGGCTCTCACAGACCTGTAACTTCTTCTTTAAGAGGCTCCTCTGTCCTCCACTCGTTACCTGTATTAATGGCACCTGTTTGAACTTGTTATCAGTATAGAAGACACCAGTCCACAACCTCAAACAGTCACACTCCAAACTCCACTATGGCCAAGATCAAAGAGCTGTCAAAGGACACCAGAAACAAAATTGTAGACCTGCACCAGGCTGGGAAGACTGAATCTGCAATAGGTAAGCAGCTTGGTCTGAAGAAATCAACTGTGGGAGCAATTATTAGGAAATGGAAGACATACAAGACCACTGATAATCTCCCTCGATCTGGGGCTCCACGCAAGATCTCACCCCGTGGGGTCAAAATTATCACAAGAACGGTGAGCAAAAATCCCAGAACCACACGGGGCGACCTAGTGAATGACCTGCAGAGAGCTGGGACCAAAGTAACAAAGCCTACCATCAGTAACACACTACGCCGCCAGGGACTCAAATCCTGCAGTGCCAGACGTGTCCCCCTGCTTAAGCCAGTGTGTCCAGTGTGACAATGTCCAGGCCCGTCTGAAGTTTGCTAGAATGTCATATGGTCAGATGAAACCAAAATAGAACTTTTTGGTAAAAACTCAACTCGTCGTGTTTGGAGGACAAAGAATGCTGAGTTGCATCCAAAGAACACCATACCTACTGTGAAGCATGGGGGTGGAAACATCATGTTTTGGGGCTGTTTTTCTGCAAAGGTTCCAGGACGACTGATCCGTGTAAAGGAAAGAATGAATGGGGCCATGTATCGTGAGATTTTGAGTGAAAACCTCCTTCCATCAGCAAGGGCATTGAAGATGAAACGTGGCTGGGTCTTTCAGCATGACAATGATCCCAAACACACCGCCCGGGCAACGAAGGAGTGGCTTCGTAAGAAGCATTTCAAGGTCCTGGAGTGGCCTAGCCAGTCTCCAGATCTCAACCCCATAGAAAATCTTTGGAGGGAGTTGAAAGTCCGTGTTGCCAAGCGACAGCCCCAAAACATCACTGCTCTAGAGGAGATCTGCATGGAGGAATGGGCCAAAATACCAGCAACAGTGTGTGAAAACCTTGTGAAGACTTACAGAAAACGTTTGACCTGTGTCATTGCCAACAAAGGGTATATAACAAAGTATTGAGAAACTTTTGTTATTGGCCAAATGCTTATTTTCCACCATAATTTGCAAATAAATTCATAAAAAATCCTACAATGTGATTTTCTGGAATTCTTTTCTCATTTTGTCTGTCATAGTTGACGTGTACCTATGATGAAAATTACAGGCCTCTCTCATCTTTTTAAGTGGGAGAACTTGCACAATTGGTGGCTGACTAAATACTTTTTTTCCCCACTGTAGTTTGAAGAGAGCAGAGTTGGAGAGACTTCCACTTTCATGTAGGTGGGGGGGGGGGGGGGGGACAATGCAAATCGTCTGGGTAGCCAGGATTAGCTGTTCAGGAGTCTTATGGCTTGGGGTAGAAGCTGCTAAGAAGCCTTCTGTACCTAGACTTGGTGCTCCGGTACCGCTTGCCGTGCGGTAGCAGAGAGAACAGTCTATGACTATGGTGGCAGGAGTCTTTGACAATTTTTAGGGCCTTCCTCTGACACCGCCTGATATAGAGGTCCTGGATGGCAGGAAGCTTGGCTCCAGTGATGTATTGGGTTGCATGCAATACCATCTGTAGTGCCTTGCGTTCGGAGGACTAGCAGTTGCCATACCAGGCAGTTATGCATCCAGTCAGGATGCTCTCGATGGTGCAGCTGTATAACTTTTTGAGGATCTGAGGACCCATGCCAAATATTTTCAGTCTCCTGAGGGGGAATAGGCTTTGTCATGCCCTCTTCACGACTGTCTTGGAGTGTTTGGACCATGATAGTTTGTTGGTGATGTGGACACCAAGGAATTTGAATCTCTCAACCTGCTCCACTACAGCCCATCAATGATAATAGGGGCGTGCTTGGTCCTCTTCTTTTTCCTGTAGTCCACAACCATCTCCTTTGTCTTGATCACGTTGAGGGAAAGGTTGTTATCCTGGCACCACACGGCCAGTTCTCTGACATCCTCTCTATAGGCTGTCTCATCATTGTCGGTGATCAGGCCTACCACTGTTGTGTCGTCGGCAAACTTAATGATGGTGTTGGAGTCGTGCTTTGCCACGCAGTCATGGGTGAACAGGGAGTACAGGAGGGGACTAAGCACGCACCCCTGAGGGGTCACTGTGTTGAGGATCAGCGTGACAGATGTGATGTTACCTACCCTTACCAACTGGGGGCGGCCCGTCAGGAAGTCCAGGATCCAGTTGCAGAGGGAGGTGTTTAGTCCCAGGGTTCTTAGCTTAGTGATGAGCTTTGAGGGCACTACGGTGTTGAACGCTGAGCTGTAGTCAATTAATAGCATTCTCACGTAGGTGTTCCTTTTGTCCAGGTGGGAAAGGGCAGTGTGGAGTGCAGTAGAGATTGCATCATCCGTGGATCTGTTGAGACAGTATGCAAACTGGAGTGGGTCTAGGGTTTCTGGGATAACAGTGTTGATGTGAGCCATGACCAGCCTTTCAAAGCACTTCATGGCTACAGACGTGAGTGCTACGGGTCAGTAGTCATTTAGGCAGGTTACCTTAGTGTTCTATGGTGGTCTGCTTGAAATATGTTGGTATTATAGACTCAGTCAGGGACAGGTTGAAAATGTCAGTGAGGACACTTGCCAGTTGGTCAGTGCATGCTCGGAGTACACGTCCTGGTAATCTGTCTGGCCATGTGGCCTTGTGAATGTTGACCTGTTTACGGCTACGGAGAGTTTGATCACACAGTCATCTGGAACAGCTGATGCTGTCATGCATGTTTCAGTGTTGCTTGCCTCGAAGCAAGCATAGAAGTAATTTAGCTCATCTGGTAGGCTCGTGTCACTGGGCAGCTTGCGGCTGTGCTTCCCTTTGTATTCTGTAATAGTTTGCAAGCCCTGTAAACATCCGACGAGCATCGTAGACGGTGTAGTACGATTCAATCTTAGTCCTGTATTGACGCTTTGCCTGTTTGATGGTTTGTCGGAGGGCATAGTGGGATTTCTTATAAGCGTCCGGGTTAGAGTCCCGCTCCTTGAAAGTGGCAGCTCTACCCTTAAACTCAGTGAGGGTGTTGCCTGTAATCCGTGGCTTCTGTTTGGGGTATGTACGTACGGTCACTGTGGGGACAACGTCATCGATGCACTTATTGATGAGTGCCATCGGAAGAATACCAGAACATATTCCAGTCCGTGCTAGCAAAACAGTCCTGTAGCTTAGCATCTGCGTCATCTGACCACTTCTTTATTGACCGAGTCACTGGTGCATCCTGCTTTAGTTTTTGCTTGTAAGCAGGAGTCAGGATAGAGTTTTGGTCAGATTTGCCAAATGGAGGGTGAGGGAGAGCTTTGTACGCGTCTCTGTGTGTGGAGTAAAGGTGTTCTAGAGTATTTTTTTTCTCTCTCGTTGCAAATTTAACATGCTAGTAGAAATGTATTTAAGTTTCCCTGCATTAAAGTCCCCGGCCACTAGGACCGCCACCTCTGGATGATGGTTTTCCTGTTTGCTTATGGCTAATTGAGTGTGTTCTTAGTGCCAGCATCGGTTTGTGGTGGTAAATAGACAGCTACGAAAAATATAGATGAAAACTCTCTTGGTAAATAGTGTGGTCTACAGCTTATCCTGAGGCGAGCAAAACCTTGAGACTTCCCATTATCAATATATATTTACAGACACTGTATTAAACTACAGTCTAATCGTAGTTAAGTTAATTTCATATTCAAGTTAACTGCCACGTGATTCTCCGTCCATGTAGGCAGCCTACTCTGTTTCAATGAGACCACACATACTAGGCGCACTTGAACTCTCACGCCCAGCTAGGACAGGTAGGGTACTGAATTTGAAGCAGCGAATTCTGAGTGTGTGAATAATGTTAAAAATATGTGCTTTTAATTCAATAGTTAGGCTAACGCATGCAAAGCAGAAAGAGGACAGTTTCCAAATAATCTGAGGATCAACAAAAATAATAATGGTCATTTCAATTATTGAACCATACATTATTTTCTTGGATAATATAATGTATAAATGTAAACCAAGGTAATTATTTGTCATGCCTCATTTTAGGAGGATCAGATGGTGACAGGGGTCTCAGCAGTGTCAGGCAGCCAGGGAAGACCAGTCTGCGACGGAGCTGAGATGAATTCTTGCAGATACAACATTTTATTCTCTCTGTGCAGAAAACACTGGACAAGCCAGATGCTATTTTAAGACAGTCTGACAAACCTCTAAGTTGATTTCCAAACTGTATCAAGGGTTGATAGAGGCTTTTCCCGATGACACAAAACATGTAAACAAAAATGTGAGGAAGACCTGGTAGAAGCTATTGATGACTATGAATGAATACAGATATGTTTGAATGCCCAGTCATGTTCATACCATCTCAGACATAAATGACTGCAGTTTAAGACCATCCATAGAACGTACTATATGTCAGTGAAACTGAATTACATGCACTCAGAAATGTCATTACTCTGCTGGAGGTGTAAAACATAAAAGGGAACATATTTGCATATGTTATGGTCTTGTGAAGGCTGGCTGAATTCTGGCAAAGAGTATGTTATTTTATCTCAGCATGTCTACAGATTCTCCCTTCTCCCTATTTTTGTTTGCTTGGAAATGTTGATACTGAAGACTGTTATCTGAGGAAACTGTGTAACCAAGCATTTATAGCGGCTAAGAAATACATTGCCATTAATTGGAAGGTTGGTTATCGTCCCAAAATGTCAAGTTATGTATCACTAGATTTTATGTATTACAAGATTAAGGGTATACTGGGCAACTTTCATAAGGTCTGTATGCCTTATATGGAATACAGTACGACTAAAGGAGTCTGTATTGAAAACATGCCCACATCAGGGGAGATACCTATTTAGGCAATCCCTAGCTGCTGGGCTGCTCAGTCCTGGCCCTGGGGGTCTGCCGTCCTGTGGGTTGTCACTCTGGCCTTGGCCTAACACACCCAAAACCAATAATGAATGTTTAACTAAGATCCTAAAGATGAGTGGGGTGTGTTAGGTTGGGGCGCTGCAGGGTGGAGGACCCCTAGGGACAGGACGGGGCGACCCAGCAATATTGTGTGCAAGTAAACAGAGCTCTACAGTACTATTAGTCCTATGAGAATAATTATATGGAGGATTTGCTGTTTCTGTGTGTTAATGTATATTTGAAGTGTTTTTTGTGTGTTTTTACAAATATTTCCCTTGGGAATTAAACAAATTAACCTCTACGGGATCGGTGTCCTGTATATGGGACGGTTGAGCTAACGTGCGCTAATGTGATTAGCATGACTGTTGTAAGTAACAGCAAGCTTTCCAGGATATAGACATGTCTTATATGGGCAGAAAGTTTAACTTCTTGTTAATCTAACTGCACTGTCCAATTTACAGTAGCTATTGCAGTGAAAAAATACCATCCCATTGTTTGAGGAGAGTGCAGAACAACAACAAAATTCATCACGGCAACTGGTTTGACACATTCACCTCTGAAGGTAAATAATGTACTTACATTCAGTAATCTTGCTCTGATTTGTCATCCTAAGTGTCCCAAAGATAAAATGTAGCATAGTTTTATTTGATCAAATCCATTTTTATATTCAAATGTAGGAACTGGGTTCTACAGTTTGAACCCCTGCTGTCTCTGGCTCCACATCCACCCCGCCCCGCCATCTAGATGTGTGAAAGTTAGTGTATATGCTAATGATCCATCATGTATGACATTCCTGGGAGTGTGTAAACTTACGTTTTGTGTTACCATATCATTTTTGTATGTTCTCTATAGTTATGTACTTGAAAATGTATCAATTGACCAATTCGGCACATTTGGGCAGACTTGATACAAAATAGTCCAGTATTGCAATGCTTCCCTGGTTCAATCTGAAACGTTGCACACACACTTCTGCCATCTAGTGGCTAAAATCTAAATTGCGCCTTAACTGCAATATTATATTGTGGCCTTTCACTTGCATTTCAAAGATGATGGAACAAAAAAATAAATAGAAAACGCATGTTTTTTTGTTTGTATTATCTTTTACCAGAGCTAATGTGTTATATTCTCCTACATGAATTTCACATTTCCCCAAACTTTAAAGTGTTTCCTTTCAAATGCTATCAAGAATATGCATATGGGAGAGAGTTGAGTTACTGACTAGACTGGTGAGGGTCGGGCGTGCAGGCAGTTCGGGCTGGCTGGTCGGTCTGACTAAAAATTGATATAGAGGATGTCTTAATAAAGACAATCAAAAGTCTTTATTAAGGAAATTAGCTTTAGATGCCCAAGACCCCCTGCCACGTTATGTCCCCCCCACTTCTAAAACCAAAGTGGCGCCCCTGTTTTTATGAATATATACAAAGAAATGTCAATAAAAAACAGGTAAAATGAAACGAAGTGCAGCTAGTTTGCAGTCTTTCCAGCTTCAGTTTTAAGTGATTGTGTTAGCTGTGTTGTTGGCTAGCTCCTCTGAACAACAGTGTCCTGACGAGAGACCACATTTTCTATGCCAGGTGAAATTGCCCATCATTAGGTCATTGTTATGGATGCTTAAACAAAAACAAATTTGACGTGACTGTAAATTTGCCGTAGTTGGGTAGCTAGCGAGCAAGAGATAAGAACGTTGCCAGCCAGTATGGCAATAGAACATTTAGAACGAACGAACATCGCCTCCGTAGATACAGAACAAAAAGACTTAACGACTGGGTCGTATCTCTGTCAACCAAACCGATAGAGCGAACGACCAGCCGGCTTTGGTAGCAACCCTAGATTTGTGTCGGGACTATATCTTGTGGAAGGATGAAATAGTATGAATAAATTCATCAAAATAAAGTTATTAATGAAAATATGTAAATCAATATTTGAATATTTTGTTAACCCGTTTTATAAAAGTGATAATGCCCTCGAAGCCGGTGTTTGGAGGATATATTGGCACGGTTTGCTGGCCTTCAATGAACAACACCCGTGCCAATATATCCTACAAACACCGGCTTCGAGGGCATTATCCCTTCATTGAGTGGGATTTTGGTGTGGTCAGTCAGAAAGGGCACCTCGTAAACAAGCAGACGGAGGAGAGGTTGCATCATGGGCTGAGGACACAAGCAGATAAAGACACGCACAAAGTATGTCCCAACGTTTCCTTTTTAATAACATATCCTTGTAAATAACTGTGCCCATTCTGCCTCTATGGTAGAGAAGGTGTGCAAGTGATGGAGGAGAGAAGGGAGCAGTATGTAGTGATAGTGATAACATAGTTCCTCCATGTCCTCCACCTGCAGGCCAGCATGCAGTCCTCGATGGCGTCTCTCTGGGCCTTGGTGAGGCTGAGGGCCCTGGACAAGTGGTAGACGACCTGGAGGAGAGCATCCACTAGTGGCCCCTGGCCCTCTGTCCCAGAGAATAGGCTGGAGCACTTAGTGAGCACAGCTGAACACAGGTACGGGCCAGGGCCATGTCTGTGGCACTCAGATCAGCCTGCAGGGAGAGGAGCAGCCGGGTGAAGTTTAGTATACTGAAGTGTCAGGACCAAAAAGAGATATGCAATTTTAGCCTAGGTGAGGCTAGCAGGAAGGGAGACAGAGGAAAAATGATTCGATCCATAAAAGTCTGAGAGGAGAGTCAGAGAAATGGAGAGGGATAGGAGCGAAGGGGACAGGTTGTTCATTGAAGTCTGGTAAGAATGAGTGGAAGGTGGTGTGAATGAGTAAGGAAAAACACAGTGGGTATGATAACAGTGCCCCATAGTGTTCGGTAGTAGGCACTACTATTCTGTTTCTCCAATACTAACAACTCAAATCTCATTCATTTATTAATGGTGCACTTAATCTGCGTTAGAGAGGATAATCCTTGTGATGTGATAGTGTCTCACTCTTTGTTCCAAAATGTATAGTAGCTGATCACTCCAATGAGGTTATAGTGAATCACTCCAGAGGGCATTGCTGTAGGTCCCTCAGGTCCATAACAATGGTCACTTCAGTGGTGCTTTGTCAGTATTCCCAATGTCTCCCTCACTGTGTCCAGAGAGGCAGTAGCCTGCAGGTCTGTCAGGAAGCCCACTTCCAGCAGGTGGAAAAGGAAGCTCTGGTCCTCGATGCCGTACACACTGTCCAGGAACAGCACAATGGCTGCCTTTTGGTCTGGGCAGAATACAGTGGCTGGGTCTGGTTCAACTACTGTTCCATCTGGATAAATGACAAGCACAGAAACATTATGACAAGCATTTGGACAATAATTTCATCACATTATATTTTGGCTAACGCAACACCATTTTTTGATGGGTGGATTTGTATTACATGCTTGGCGATCTGTCTCAAAACTTGAGCCAACTTAACCCCAGGCTGCTACCATATAACAGAGAGAGCACCAGCAGGATGATTAAACTAGAACCAACGTAGCTATAAAAAAGGGGGGGAAAACACAGTACAATCTGCAACGATTGGGTTTACAAGCACATAAGACTATAGTGACTTCTCACAGAGGACTGACCTTTTGCTAGAGAGGGGATTTGGAAAGGGATGTTGATGACCCCCTCCAGGGGATGGGGATGAGGGACCTCAGGATTGCCTGGATACGGATGGCCTCGCGCTTCCCAGCATGGATCAGCTGGACAAACATAATCAAATCAAAGTGACATTAGCTTTATTAGTATTTTTGAAGGTTCAATGCAGCCATTTTTTATCTCAATAACAAATAATTTCTAGGTAACAATTAAGTATCTTATTGTTAAATTAAAATGGTCAAAAATAAAAAAAATAGCTAAAGCCCTATTCGGATGGGATTAGTTTTACTGGGGGAGGTCGGGTAATGTAATTATGTGCACGAGCACAAAACACCACATTTGTAATTTTTGTCCTGTCCGAATCTGCCATGTCAGTAATTTTTACATGTTAGGAGAGTAACAATTCCAGCCAGAATAACCTACTGTTTTTTTGGCGAACTCCAAGGTCCTCTGATAATAATAGTCCCGTGCAAATCGACATCCCTGTGTTTTGAGAGAAATGTCTGAGTTTGGCAGGTGTTGCTCGCAATAACTGATTCGATAAATTGAACGAAGTGCTACACATAAGAAATATATTAATTGCCTACATGTATCAACTTTCACAGTGAATGCTTTTGTTTATATGTTTTGTGGGTATGGATTGATTGCCTAATGCATCTGTAAGAAATATTGCGCCTATTTAATGCAACCCTTGCTGTTAATAGATTGCAAAGCAGCATACAACTGACCTTAACGTTTGGAACTGATAAGTTAACTTTCTCATTCATAGCCTTAAAACGCATCTCAAGTGCAAGTGCACATCTGAAGTCTGGAGGGCATTTAGGACTTAAAATATCTGAATGATTATGATCACACTTCCTCAATTCAAATATTATGGCGACACTATACCAAAGATGGTTTGGCATGGTTTAGAAATTTGGGAACCAAACTTGAGTAATCAGTGTAGCCCTGTTGAGTGTGGAGAATGCATAAAACAGTACATTTGAGAAGCACTCGCATTCACCCTACTGTATTACCTCATGCTTCACCTCCCCTTTCACTGAACCTTCTTCCAGCCAGGACAATGGCAACAATAGACTAAACAAGATATACACAAAGCAAACGTTTTTACTTCATAATTATCAGCTAGATATGTGAATCGTAATAATCTAGCTAGCCAGCTAGTTAAACAGGCAAACAAATGTTATGCAAGGTAAATGTAAATTTTTTGTGGGTAGCGACTAATTCTTTGCGGCTACCTAGCTAGCCAGTTAGCCCTATTGACTAACTATGGACTTACCCATTCACAGGACAACAATGGCAATAGAGACAAAACAAGTGTCATGTGAATTTCTATCTCTAATTCAACCTAAGCTTGAATCATTACCAGAGGTTGTAAGGCTCTGGTTTTAATCATCAATGATTCAAGGTCCATAACCACGAAGAAGGATTTTTTGTATGTTTATTTATGGAGAGCTCTGGCGCCAAAAACACATACATACTGTTTTTATACCCCTTGACAAACAAAGGCATTATGCTCCTCCCACCTTTAGGTGGGATTCTTAAACAGTTTCCGCCTTCTCCTTTACCCTTGAATGTTTAGTACCCCCTCTGTTAGTGGGTTGACACTACATGATAATTCGAATATCGTATACACATTTCTACTGTATTTGGGGTGAAATCCTTTAGTCATTACTTTTAATACACAAATTAATCTATCAATCCACCCTTTTGACTAAATGGTTTCATCTTCAGGATAAATGTATTTTACAAGCATGATTAATCTCAGAGATCACATCAGAACTAATAAAAATGTCATCCAATTGCGGTCTTTCAGGGTCCAAATCCTCGTCATCCACCAAGCCTGGAGGATCGTTTTTCACATTCCCCTGGTTAGAGTCCGGAGTCAGTCCATCTCTCATCATTGTTTAGATACTGCATTTCACCAACGCCTGACTCACCAATCCTCGGACACAGGGAACAAGACAACAACCACATAATACAAGAATACCCATACAAACACTGATTGCTCCTAAGATGGTGGCTGCTAGGGTTTTCCATTTACCAAATATTTCATCAAACCACCCTATCCACAATGTACTAACTTCTGAGTTCAGTTCATCCTTCACTTAGTGCAGTTAATTCTGTAAGAGCTCTGGTGACTGTCCCATCCAGTGTGGTGTTGTTAGGGATAAATGTGCAACAATGGCTTATCTTTCTATAGACACCGGCCCTTTCTGCCTGATCTAGAACCAACCTCTACTAAGTTATGAGCGGGATGGCGGATAATCGCTCAGAGATCCCCTTTACTGCATCTCTAGTCTGGTCAATAAATCGTTGTTGGTTGTAATAGATATAATCTATCCAATCCATATTTTTGTTTATTGTCACCCACCAGAAAAATGTTGTAGTAAAACTCTCCCATATTTGATTCATAGCTTTGTATTCGTCTGGAACACCCCTGGGGATGCCTATACCATCTATCCAAATTGGGCTATTTCCTTCCTGACTTATATTTATTTTTCTCCTAATTATTCTTCCTGTCACTGGTCTTTGATGACCAATTCTTACAGGTTGGACCAACAATACTGGTGCACAAGTACCCACCCATCCCTCTGGTAATGTCTGCCGAATGCTCCCTTTGTTAGTGCATGCCCACCACACATCAGTCTGAGGGATGGTTAGGCTCCTAATTTTTTTCCTCCCTTCCTTATCTAAATCAGTCACATTAATTATCTCCTTACAGCCATCAAAATCACCCAAGTTACAGGTGCCATTTCTATGTCTGTAACACTGGTATTCGCCAGGAGTTCAAGTGAATCTAGGTGGGCTGGCCGAGTATGTCAATTTTGCCAGCCCAATCCCTGTGCAATTTGGCTCTTTTTGATTGGACCCCAGGTCTAATACACAGGGAAACATTGCCTTTGGCATTGGGGCGGTCAACATTGTCGGTCGCCCAATGGAGCATGCATAACAATTGGTCTCCCCCAAGGCCCTAGCGGTGTATTTCATCCACTTTAACCAGAGATTCTCATCAGGGACCCCCTCCACTTCCCCATTGTTCCATTCTTGGAGGAGAAAATCTTTCATAGTGGACGGGTTAGTCAAATTGACTCCGTCATCCCTTGACTGATTTACTCGGTCTATTGCCATTAATGGATTAATGACAGTACCTGCTCCCTCTATATCTTTTGACTCCATTAAATGTAATCTTAGACAAGTATCCCGTCCGTATACGTCCGCGCAAGCCCAGTAAGTTCTTTTCATGTCCTCTTTAGTGACTTTTACTATCCGTGGGGATGTCGTTATACCTTCTTATCCTCCATCTGGACGTCCAGCCCCCCCCCCCCCGTCTCATATCTCCGTCCCCCAGTATGTCTAAATACCTGAGCCCAGGAACAATCTGCCGAGGGAGCTGAACATAAATACAACGGGATCTTATAATCCCATGTTGCTTGCTTATCCGCTCTGATAAGATCCCTAATCCTAATTTTGAATCTTACTCCCCACCCCTCTCTGACTCCTATTTTGTAGATCACTCGCCCTTGACGGTCAGTATGTCGGGTCGCTTCCCTTTTATTTCTTAATAATGGTAAGGCCCTAGCGTAATTGGTGCGAGGTGGTGGTGGATCTTGACATACCACGACTATTGCCGAGACTATGATGCAGCTCAGGGTCACCCATATTCCCAAAAACCGCCAACCCTCTCCTGTCTTGAGTCCTTCTGCTCGGTACCACCCCATACTCACACCCTAGGAACACACTACAGTGATGATAGGTCTGGGTAGGAGATCTTCGTTGACAGAGGTGACCCCCGGACCCTGTGGCTCAGTTCCGCTCGTCAACTCTGCGTGTGCTAAGCGGTGCTTGTATGTGGTCCTACCTTCTTGCAGTGGGTAACATGGACCCAGGTTCCTCTCTCTGCTATTCTAATGGCCAAGGTGGTTACCAACATAACCTGATAGGGCCCTTCCCAACAGGCCTGCTTCCAGTTTTCCTTCTAGTGACTGGATGCTCATTAGTCACCTGGTTAGATAGTGGGTCACCTTCTCCTTTAGTTCACCTGTGGGGCACAAAACCTCTGACATACGGGTGTGGTTAATAAACTATCTGTCACAGTTTACTAAGCCAGAACCCAGAAGCAGACCAGGACAAGGTGAGTTGAAACGAAGGTGAGTATTTATTTAACAGATTAAAAAAACTATGTAGAATAATCCAGGGGACAGAGCGGGCAGTGGAGATGAGTTGGTGGCGGTGCAGTGGCAGATCCAAGAATGGCTCGGCAGCCTCCGACAACCAGGCAGGGGTTGGGTGAAGGTTCCGGGAGATTGACTGCAGATAGAAACAAAACGGAGGTAAGTACACGGCAAGCCAACAAGGTGCAAAATAACAAAACTAACGCTAGAAACTCCAAGGCTGATACACTGACAAACATACTGTTCATGGCTAACGATCCGGCAGGGAATGGATGTCAGGTCAGGGCTTAAGAAGGGGGATGATCAGGACCAGGTGTGCAGACCGCTGATGAGATGCAGGTGCGGTTAATTGGGAGATCTCCCGCCTAGCAACGTCGCCCGGCAACCAGGCCGGGAGCGTTCACGAACCCTCAGGAAACTGGAGATTCCGAGCAGAAAAATGGCAACACAGGCAGGAACCGACTCAGGATGCAGGGTTCATGACAGTACCCCCCCCTCCGACGAACGCCACCGGGCGGACTACCCGGAGCGCCAGGATGGAGGCGGTAGAAGTCACGAAGGAGGTCAGCATCAAGGATCTGGCGCCGAGGAATCCAACTCCTCTCTTCAGGACCATACCCCTCCCAGTCCACGAGATACTGGAAACCCCGGCCCCGCCGTCTGGAATCCATAATGCGGCGCACCGTGTAGGCAGGACCACCTCCGATCATCCGAGGGGGAGGAGGAGGAGGCGGAGGGGGTAACAGAGGACTGAGGAGAACAGGCTTGAGGCAGGAGACATGAAATGTGGGATGGACTCTGAGCGTTCTAGGTAACTTGAGTCGAAACGCAACAGGATTGATCACCTTCTCCACCACAAACGGACCAATGAACTTCGGTGACAGTTTCTTAGACTCAGTCCGCAGAGGAAGATCCCGTGTGGCCAAC